TTTTATAAAAAAAAAAAAAAGGAATCGATATATAAAAGTTTGGTTTTCATGTTGTAAAACTCGTGTAAATGTAAAACTTCGTGTTAAATCGTGTTAAATCGTGTAAAATCGTGTAAAATGTTTGTGACAATTCATACTTGATATTTATCAAAATATTAAAGACAAAGAAATTAGGATATTCTATATAAATCGCGAGTAAAAAAAAAAAAAATTAATAATATATATAAAAGTTTACGAGATTTATATTTCCTTATAGTTCATTGAAAAAGAAATCATCGTTTCTTTTCAAAAAACAAAAAAAAGATAGTTTTTTTTTTTGCGAAAATGTAATAAATTTTTCCCCTGAGAGATTAAAAAGTCTACTACTACGAAAATTCGAAAATTCAAAATTGCGAAAAAACTTAAAAAAATTTAACTTTGGAAAGAAGGATATGATTGTCCAGAATATAAATATAATCCAGAAGGTGATGATAGTGGGGATTGACAGGTTATAGAATCTGTAAAATTAGGGGTTGAAAAATCGGATTTTTCATAAAATCCACCATCATCAATTTCTGGTGAGAATAATAAAGAAATATCATCAATTGAAGAAGAAATATCATCAATTGAAGAATTTGAAGAAGGGGACATGGATTCTAACATTTGAGCTTCTAATGAAGAAAATCCCATAATTGGTGAATTAATCAAATCATCAAAAGTAGGACTAGTAGGAGAGTATGAAGGACCAAAAGATACTGAAGGATTATTATGTTGAATAGATGAGGAAATATTAGGAGACCATTGACATTGAAAAATGTTATCCGGGAAACAATCTTGCTGCGGAATTGAATGAATTGAACCATGTTGAGGAAGAGTTACATTATCAAGAGAATATTTTTCTAAACCTGAGGTACCAATAGAGAAAGAAGGAATTTGTTCAGGTTCTTTATTAGAATAATTTCTTTGAAATCCATTTGATGGGATTGAATATTGAAATAATCGGTCATATATATTATTAATATTATAAAAATCATCAGGATTCTGGAATTGATGAGATTGGTTAGATTGGTTAGATTGACCAGAAAGATCGTCTAATTTAGGACCATTTCCATTGGATTCACTTTTTGATGATAAAGTAGGTCGAGTTGGTAAATATTTATAATTGATTTGTTGTTGCGTACTTCCAGTATCACGAACATACATTTTCTCTGCTTCGCTTGAAAGTTTAGTGTAAGCTTCTTTAACAAATTCACTCTCTTTTTTCCAAGATGTTGAAATCATTGGACTTAATTCGGTCATAGAAATATGATAACCTTGTGATTTCAAATATTGAACATATTCATTACGATACATAATAAAAGCGTTTGGAAATCTGGCCAATCTTGGTTTTGCGACAAGTTTTGCGACAATTTGTTCAACCCTTTGAGTAGGGGGGAAAGGAAGAGGTAAAGGTGGGGAAGATGGGGAAGGCTTTTTTAGGTCAAGCTTGATCTTTACTTGTCCTTGTCTCATATTACGAATTTTAGTATCTGAGGATCTCTTTGAGGTTTTCTTGGTCATCTTTAAAAGAAAAAAGTTTTTTGGAAAAGTTTTGGAAAGAGGTTTGGAAAAAAAAGTTTTTTTTTTTAAAAAAAAAATTTAAATTTTATTTTATTTTATTTTTTTTTTACTTTTTTATTCGTAAAAAAAAAAAATATATAATTTGTTAAACACGAAAAAAAACGGTTCAAGGTAACTATTTATTTTTTTTAAAAAAAAATTATTCCTTTTGGTAATAATTATTTATTTTTCGGATGTAAAGATGAAAAAAAAAAAAACAATTTCCTCTGACTGCAAATTTATAAGATTTTTTTTTCCAGAGTAAACATTTTTTGATTGGTAAATAGTATTAACATATATAAAAAAAAACAACATATTAAAAATTTTAAACTAACAATTAATAGCAACAATAAAAAAAAAAAAATTTTTACAAACAATTTTCCTAAAAATTCTATTTATAGATTGTGTAATTATTGTAATTACACACTAATTAAACTAAAGATATAAATAGAAAAAAAAGGCAACAAAATGATTTTATCACCAGAAAAGTGGCTAAACCTAATTTATATAATGTATTTCTTATGTAAAAATGGAGTTATTTGTAAATTTGGTAAATCATAAAATTACAATATTGTTATTATATATAAAAATGTAAATGTATAATGCGGCATGTGTTTTTTTTCTGAATTTTGATATGATTTTCTTTCCGAGCTAATAATGCTAATAACATAAATAAAAAATTAATATTACTAAACCTTTTCTTAACTATTATTCAACTTATTCAAATATTTTTTTTTTACTCCTATTTAAAAAAAAAATTTTTTACTCCGTATAACCGTATAATAGATATTAATAAGAATATTCTTTCTCGGAGTATCGGAGCAGCACGAGGTGGGATAATATAAATAGTAAATCGTAAGGTGATTATTATGCATTATAATATGAATTCGTGTGAAATTATAGTAATATATTTTTAGATAATATATATATATATATATATATAATATAATAATAATAATTCCGGTATATATATATTATATAATTCAAGTTACGGCACATACATTGTATTTACGGTATATATTTTATCGGTATGTATGGTATGTATGGTATATATGGTATATATTTTAAGGTATATAACTACCATATTCTTAAATAATATGTAACTGTTATATATTGTAATTCGGTATAATTTATTTTAATTTTTTTTTTACGAGCGCGTCAAAAAAATTAATCACATTAAAATTATCTTTTATGTTTATTTCATAGTAAAAACATTTAAATCTCAAAAATATTTAAAAAGATTACAATTTCTATTCTTCTTGGATGTTCCAGTAACTAAACCGTAAAAATAAGAGATCATCCAGAGTACTGAACTCAACAATCAAGAAAAAAAAAGAAAAATTTTTTTTTTTTTTGGGATCTCTCCCAAAAATATCAAAATTTGATATATAATTAGTTTATAAACACAAGTTAAAAAGTAAAAAAATTGTATAAAAAAGTACAAGACAACAAATAAAAAAGTCATTGTATAATATAAGATGAGGGATCAACATTTTCATCGGTTTAACTTGATTTAAATGTTTATTTATTATCTTGTTCTTATTTGTAATTTGTGTCTAAATTACACAATTGAGAAAAAAAAAAAATAAAAATTTTTTATTAAACGAAACCGAATAAGTTCTTTTGGTACCTATTTTACATTATCATTTAAATAATCTTTTAACCTAACTGATATATTTGATTAATCTGTTGTGACATCTGTATGTTAGGTTTTATGGCGTTTGTACGTAACAAACTTGTATTACCAGCCAGGGTATTGTGCAGTATATCATCAGATCATCGATATGATGTGATAAACAAATGTGCTGTTGCAAGTACTGCATATAAATCAAATACTATATTAAATACTATATTAATACTATTCTAAATACTATGTTTATATATATCATATACTGCGTTAAATATACTTTATATATATCATAATAATGTAAATCATCATATTTTATCTAATCAATAAATATAAATATATATATATATTATCTGTTATAAATATATAAATATAAATATTTATCATATTTTTTTATCTCACATCTTATATTTTAAATATCTCATAATCTAATATCACCTAAAAAAAGTATGCTTATCCGATTTAAGGTTTATTTTTTGTTTATTTTCGAATACCTATTTAATAAACTTTCCTGATATCGGTTAGAATAATTTTTGATATTTCATTGATAAAAAAGATAAAAATGTTGGAGGATAATCTAATGGCTTTAACAAGCCACAAAAATTTTTTACGGTATGTTAATTAGTATTTTCCGTTTTATTATTTATTTTTTCAATGAAAATTAATTTATTTGTAAATTTGATAGTTAAAAAAAAAAGTTCCCTTGTTTTTTTTGACGCCCAAAATGTACTACTTCATGATAAAGTTTTAAATAAAAACTGATTACAAAAGATTGATATTACGTATTTATAAATGCTTTTTATGTCATAATAATAATACGTCAGATACTCAGAGTACCTCAGTATGAAATTAAACAATTATAGTATGGGTATAGGTCAATGATACCTGTAAAAAGGGTGTTATTTGGGTTATTTAGGAAGATGAAATAAATCATAGTCAAATTCCTTTACAAGTATTATTCATAGGGAAATTATTATTTTATGTGTGAGTATGCGAGATGTTTTCTTTCTCACTGCATAAAAATAAATATATATGGATAGTATGTGAAATTGACAAAAAAGGTTTCTTTATAGTGTATTACAGATCACGTGATTATCATGTTCACTCTTGTTACTCTTTGTTTAAATCATCATTTTAGTGTTCCTGAGAATATATCTTTTGGCGCAGTAGTTTTAATGTTTTAATCTTTTATGCAGTTTCTGGTAAATTAAAAATCTGGGGTTAAAAGTAAATTTCTCATCGTTTGGCTAAAATCGTATTAGCATTTCACGTGAATAACGTTTAAAAATTTTTATTCGGCGTAGTAAGATCGCTAAGTAATTTTTTTTTTTTTTT